AGTTTCTAAGATATCACAAAAATGTAGGGAAATATTGCTAGGCATTATATGTTTCATTCACCGAGTTATTTATGGGAGGTGATTCTGACAGAACAGAATTAATAATCATTTCTATCAGAATCATAAACACTTTCGTTTTCAGATAACTCCTCATCGTCATCACTTTCGGATTTTAAAAGCTTAAAATCACAAAGACTATTCAATATTAAATCACAGTTTTTTACAGGATTTGAGTCATAATTAAGATGTAACAAATTACACACAGAAATAAAATCATTTGCAGTAAAAGTTTTAAGTAATTTTTGTTTTGTTTCTTCAATATTAAAATCAGATGGAAAACCGCAAAAGTTACGCAATCTAGTTCTATTTTTTCGATCACCCAAAGTTCCAAACACAATTTTATGTAAAAGTTTAATTGACTTAGTAGGCCCAGTCTTTAAAGAATTTGAAATTCTAGGAATAGAATTTAAGGTAGTCATCTAATTCACAGTATCATAGAACACTATTCCTAGAAGTAATAATGTGGAAATAATCGAAACAAAACTTACTTATTTTGTAATATTCATAATGCTTCTTCCTAGGCTCATACCGGCCTGAGCGCCCAAATCTGTAGAATCGGTACTTACTGTCTAGGAATATGATGTTCGTAAACTTACTTCCGATGTGGCTGTCTAGAGGCTAATAAACTAGTCCGATTTACAAATAACTTGAATATTTAAATGAAACATGAATAGTTGCTACAAACTACAAAGTAATTACATACGTAGAAGGAAATAGATGAGATTATTTACAAACGAAGAGAAGGAATCGCATTTTACAAGCAAACATCTTTGAATCGCGTCATCGTCCTAACGGCGGAATCGCCTGCCTTCGTCATCGAAAAAGTGAAAGATTTACTCTCACAGCTTGTCGCGTCATCCGATTGTAAATGAACGATGCCAACCCACATATATATATATATATATATATAGGTATCCTTTATCCCACTCACAAGTACTTAACCCGGCCTTTATTTTCGCAATCATTGATCGTAGTTATATAATTTCAATTACAGATGTGTTAGACTAACGACATAATATATATGTAGCCTATGTATACGCTGTTAGTCTGACATAAATATTTTACAATATTTAATATCACTTTTTTGCTGTAATGATCTAAAAATATTTAGTATTGGTTTATTATTTCATCAAAAATGCGTATAATTTAATAAGCCGTACAAGAAATTCATGTAGTGATGACATTAGATTTTTTATTATAATTTAAAAAAGAATGCTACTAAAATTAAAACTTAAAACTAAAAAAATACCGATCATTCATCAAGATACCATCTGCTACGGAGCTACCGTACATAAATAACGTTTATTTTTGCAAAATGTGCTAATTATGTATTTACAAAATATTATCTTAATTCTTATTTACTTTGCTTTTATGTAAATTACCTTTTAAAACAACTTGGTTTCATTTCTTTAAATTTTTATTTAAATGTTCAGTTACTTGTTTTATCAACAGTTATTTAGCAGCTTCCTTTGTCAGGTTCTACGTTTATTCTAAAAATAATAATTTATCCAAGTGCTTTCATTTGCAAAATTGTTTTCCTGTTTTTTATTTTATACTATCTAATTATTGCACGGTGTTACTGTACTGACACCATTTAAATGGTGTTATAAAAAAATGGTTTTACATATGGTTTGAGCGGCCGAGCGGTAAAGTCGCTGAACACTGGTAGTTCGGTCCGAGGTTCGAATCCCGCGAACGGGCTGATTGCATGGGTGGTTTCGTGGTTTTCCCATGTGTAACGTGTATACGAGCCAGTTTCCCTTAGAAAGTCCTCCACGAAGGCATCCCTCCCTTAGACAGATAGCCCTAGTGTGCTTTGCCATAATTAAATACACCACACCAACACCATATGGTTTGTTTTATAATGGTGTTATGTTATAATGGTTTTAAGATCAGTATGGATATCATTTAGATATTCTAATTGATGCAAAACAAATTCACTGCTTTATCGAAATCGCTTCCTTAGTGTTTAACTAGATTCGCAATCTACACGTAGAAAAATTCTGATGTAGGCATCACGACTTAAGGCTTATTAAATTATACGTATTTTTGGCTTCAATTCATTTAAATTTATTTCTTCGCATTATTCTAACTTAATTAAAACACCTCTCAGAGCAAGTTGAAAATGAAATCAAAAATTGTAAATTTTGAAGTTAAATATCCCGGTCAAATTGTCGCACGGTAGTCAAACTTTTTCTAATTTTATTTTTTTATAATAGTATAAAACTATTCCAAATACAATTATAGGAACGGAGAGACAGTATTAAAATTTAAATTTCGTTATTTGTTGGAAATAATTTTTTTCTGTAAATTTGACATCGACAAAACATGAAATTTTTCGTCATTTAAAACACTTCTGCATAGGAAAGTACACGTTTATGAACAGCATTTGAGAAAATGATGTTATAACACTCCAATATGCAAAATTTCAACATTCTACGAATAATAATTTTTGAGTTATGCGAGATACATCCACACGTACGTACACACAGATTTCTGAATCGATTTTAAATTCATTTTACAATAGCTTTTTGAAAAACGAGCCTTTATTCTTTTCGTAGTTACAGACGTCATGCAAAAATTTTGTCCATGGGGATTAGGGAACTTCCAAAATGAGCATTTCTGTCTGAAATATGATATCCACAATTTTTTCAAATTCAAATGCTTCCTTTACTTCGTACAAGGACATTTAAAGTCATCAAACTACTTATGTTCTATTTAATTTAAAGATTAATAATTATTATTTACTTATGCATGTTACATAAAAAGTGTTGTAGAGGATTAGCATTTTATACACAGCCACCTGCAGTTTAGCCTTATTAGGCTCGTTCATTTTGATCTGTAGAACATACATGTTCTCGCTTTGATGTGAAGAACACACATGTTCTCGCTTTGATCTGAAGAACATACATGTTACTAAAACTATAAACAAATTCTGGGTGAAAATATGTAGCTAAGTTGATAATCGTAATTAATAAATAAAGCAGCGTTATACATGCAGGTATTCGTTTATCATTTTGTATGTTCATTCCGAGACTAGCTGATCTGGAAACTTGGAAAATGGCACCTTGAAATACTTGAAAGTTACTCTGATTCCTATATAGTTTTATTTGCTTGTCGATAGTAGTTTAAAAGCTAATTTTATATATATATATATATATATATATATATATATATATATATACATATACATATACATATACATATACATATATATATATATATATATACAGTGTGATTCTAAATTGTTTTTGCAAATTAAGAGGGATGATAGTACTCATCCAGGTGAGCAATAATTACCATAGAACATAGGGTTGCATTCGACACTGAGAGGCAGAAAAGAGGAATATTAGAATTCCATCCTGAACTTACAACAGTGTTGGAAGAGCGAAGGGACGAGACCAAAAGTTGCACTATCAAGTTTAGTGGAAAACTCACAGAAAGTGCAGAAAACCGAAAGCTTGGCATTCGAGTGTTATTTCGAGCTTAGACTTTGATGGCAAACACTCAAAAGCACATCTTCGGTTGGCAAGATCTCAACCTCGCAAATGATTGCAACAAGTTAATTATCTAAATTATTAGGGAGATATTATCTATAAGGAGGGAAAAACTGCTGCCTCGATATCAAGTATCAAGGTAGCAGTTTTCTCCCCCTTAGCCATCTTCTATCCTCTCCTCCTGGACTTACTGTGCTGCGCGCATTTTACTGGAAGCGCCTTTCTATGAGACACGAAGCTCTGACAGCCGGAACACAAAGCATGAACGTTTCATACTAATCTCAGCACGCAGAGGAGTTTATAGTTATTTGATAATATTCAACCCTTGATTAGATAACTAACCTTTTGCAATCGTTTGCGAGGTTGAGAACCAAAGATGTGCATTTGAGTGTTTGCCATCAAAGTCTGAGCTCAAATTAACACTCGAACGCCAAGTTGTCGGTTTTATCCGTTTTGTGTACTTTCTGTGAGTTTTTCAGTAAACTGATTGTGCAGTTTTTGGTCTCTTTCATTCACTCTCCCAACACTGTTGTAAGTTCAGGATGGAATTCTAATATTCCTCTTTTCTGCTTCTCAGAGTGTAATGCGACCCTATGTTCTATATTAATTATTGCTCATCTGGATGAGTGCTATCACCCTTCTTAATTTGTAAAAATAATTTAGAATCACCCTGTGTATATATCAAAAGTATTGAGAATTCCAAGTTAGCTGATCTTTCGTCCACGTTCGATTTCAAATTCACTAAGGAAGTTATACAAAAGATTAATTATATTTCTAATGCACTCTTAAAGCTAAGTATTTAAACAAATTTTGTGCAATGAATTTATGGGTAAATTAGGTGTTCTATTTTTGGATTCTCTATATTATCCTGCATATTCAGTTCATATTTGAGGTATATTCAACAATTTAAGAAGATATTATTTTCCATACATAGTGTATTTTTAAAAGTAATTTTTTTAGTTCTTGAGACAATGTTTTCTCTACTACAGGTAGCAAGTTCAAAAAGTTTTATTTGTATGGATATATATTAAATATTTCTGTCCATCTCTGTTTTGAAATTTGTTAGCGGAGATAAATCTCCAAAGCTGCGAGGTACAAAAATATCATTTTTAAAATTTAGACATATGTCATCGTAATCGTTTATTGGGTTGATAAATAGCACTCTATTGTGCAATTGGAACGTAAAAGCATCTGTGCAACATCATAAAAACCAGTATGCGGCTGCTTATTTGCCCAGCTTAGAGAAAGTACGCTGGAATATATATTAATTAAACCACAAAGTGATGTTCTATCTCATTAAACAAAATATAAGTCACAAATATATTCAAACTTAAAGCTCTTATTTGGAATGAAAACTTTTAAATTATCTGAAGCATTCTTATGCATGTCTACTAATATTTATATAAAAATTTTATAAAGATGAATATGGAAAACTTTACTTACGAAGACAACCAACATTCCCATCCGCCACTATCTTATGGAGACCCCAATATCCAGGCTCACATCTGTCGCAGCGAAGTCCACCCACACCAGTTTTGCATTCACACTGACCAGATATGGAATCACAACTCCCGCCGTATGATCCTAAACGGTTGCAGTTGCAAGTACCTAAAAAGAACAACGGTTAAATTTTGAAAGATATGGAAGTGCGATATATAATACATTTTCATTTATTCAGGCATGCACAACCTTACAATATTTTGCATAGACTGTAGTTTCTTACAAATCGAACATACTTGGCAATCTTACAACAAGTGAACTCATCGGCAATATTCGGTTGTTAAGTTACATGTACTGATTCTGTGTTACATTTGCTAGCTCCATTAATAGAATATTGCTATGCAAGTATTATTTTACACATAATCAGGTTTTAATTATTCAAACATTTGCATTGTTTTCGCTAATATAACGAAATCAGGGTTATTCAAGACTGTACAATTTATTATGAGTAAAACAAAGACTTGAAAGTGTCTTACATTAATTGAGAATATAAAAATGATTAATTTTAATGGAAAACAATGAGGCAACTCGAAACCAAGCCAAGTACAAAGGGTTAACCACCCATTATGAACAAAAAGACATATCTTTGAAGGAAATCATAAGTTCTCCTCCAGAGAGCATGAATGATAAGAAATCCAAAGTGGCTTCATTCTTCGTAGTGATATTTTTTGTAATGTATATGTAGTCTTGGAAGCTGTGAAATTCATTTTGCAGTTGCGGTCCGTTTCATTACGTTTTTCACACTATTGCGTGAAATGAAACCAAATTAGTAATATTCGTATTATTTGTAATACATATAGCAATTTTAGAGTATAACATTAAGTTGTTGTTGAATATCAAAACCTAAGAAACTATTAATTTTAATTTATTAGTAATTTTGTTTTTATATTTAGATAAATGTAGGATAAAATCCCTTTGCTCGTAATTTTTCTACTTGCAACAAACTACCAGCTGAACGGCTTAATAACAATCTCTACGGAAAGCAAAGCGCTTCGATTAATGAAGTTTATAAATCTATTTGTTCATATTTGTAAAGAATTCCTTAATTTCTTAATTCATATAATCACTTAAAATTCCCTGAAATTCAATTAAGAGTAATTTTATTATTATTTTGTAGCTATTCAGTTGGATAATACTTTCCATTTAGGTATACTCTTAAATTCCTCCGGAGAATTCTATTTTGTAATTTAATTATCCAATTTTATTTATTTACTTAATTTTTAGTTTATACTTTGAAATGTGCTTTGTTTCGTAACATCCCTTTTAGATATAATAAAATGATTTTGTAAGCATTTGATGCCTTCAATTATACGCTAAGTAATCATTTAAGAATGCTGAGAATATCCTGAATAAAAAATAGTAAATTAAAATTTTAATGTAGAACATATTCTGAATATGCATAATCAGACATTCGAATATGCATAATTCATAATGTGCAATTTAATTTATGACGTACATTGCTTAAAAACGACATAAGATTAACAAAAATATTTTTAGATAGGACAACATTGCATTCTCAAATACTTAAATTGAGCGTTATTTAAGGACAAGTCTTATAATCAGATAAGTAAAAAATTATTCAAAATATTTCTGACGTTTAGGAAATTTAATACTACATTACCCAAGAGAGAAAATTCAGAATAAGGAATGTGACATTTTAAGTTCAGTGTTACAAAATATAGAAAAATATTCCAGTTGAAGATAGAATAGAAAAGAAAAAACTAAGTGACAGGAAAATCGATTCGTCGATTTAGAGTTCTGGATAGGTGTCAGATTCTTGGTTATTAAATTACACTACTCAGCGACGCAGCAAATAACCCAAACTCGGCTGTAACAGTATTTCAAGATATATATTTCAATTTATTTTACATAGCATTTCAAAAAGCATACTTAAATAAATTTAAGTATGCTTTTTGAACATGAGAAATACGTTCTTGAGCAAACAGACTAAATTAATTAGAGAACAAATTATTTGTGAGATTTTATTATGCTCATTTTTACTCTATTTTGTTATATATATAAGAGTCATAGTTACACAGTAAATGGAAAGGCGCAAGCAAGGAGGAAAAAAAAAACTTCTAGTATAAAACAGAGCTACTTTTACTTCATTGTACCAAGTAAAGGAAGTATTGTAATCACGAAAAATTCCGAGGACCATATTTCAACGAAATTATTCATTTTGACCTATCGACTGCAATTTACGATGTTTTTGCGTGACACCTAAGGACAGAATAAAGAACTCGTTTTCCCCAAACGAATTTTAAAGCTGATTTAAAATGGATTCAGAAGAGGTTTTTTTCGTGGCGTCTCTACGTACGTATGTATCTCGCATAACTCAAAAACGAAAAACCTCAGAACGTTGAAGTTTTTTTTTATTCTTATATGTTGGTAAATTGTGCATTTTTTGCTTTAAAAATGATTAAATTATATAGTTCTTATCTTCCAATTAAAGTTTTCATGCCTTTATTTAATCTGCATGCAATATTTGAGGAATTATTAACATTTTAAAAATAGCTAAGCCTAAATTTCTTACCATATCAACCATATTTGTTTACATTTGAAACCTAGCAGAATAGTAAATTAATTCTTTCTGCACCTTTAGTGTCATTTTGCCGAGTGGGACCAAAAGGAAACTTTTAATTTTGTGCACCGAGAAATCTGCCTTCTTGGCTGCTGGCCGAATTGCTTGGTTTTGCATAGAAACTGTAATTTTAATCGTAAAAATTGTTTTTTAAATTCTTTTAACTGTAGTAGGTGTTTTATGTATTTCCATATCTTTGAATTTTTAATGAAAATATTTTGAGGTATTACTCATTTTTGCCTTGCCGCAAAGTGAAAACTGAATTAATTGAATGAGAAATATATCTCTAATGAATTCGAGTAAATAAGTATTTCGTATTAACAGCAAATATCGCTAGTCTATCTCGAACAAAGGAGAATGTTTACGAGAAGCGCATGCGCATTAGATAACCGTCGCTGAATCGTCTGTGAAAAACCGTTTCTTCTCCTTTTCTTCTTCTTTTTTTTCCTTTAATTTCTGTCATATATCTTTGTAGATTATTATAATATTTGAATAGAACATTAGGCAACGATTAAATAATTCTTCAGATGATATAATTTTTGTGCATTCTGAGTTATAAAATGAATGAGATGTAACGCTGTTAAGTGAACCTAGCGCCAGAGCGACCGGTATGGTAAAAAAATACAGTGAATTTTAAAGAGTGCATTTACTGTATTGTGGTTTATGCGCTATGGACGAAGCAGATTTAATTTAATTCAATAAGTTTTATGAAATGCAAGAAAAAGGGCGTATAATTTAATTTTAGGTACAAGGTAGTCATGTGATGTACACATCACCTTTTTTAGAATTAATCAAACTTGTTGCTACACATAGGATAATTAATAGTACACATAATATAGTAAAGGATACTTAAAATTTCCTTTTGCATACTAACTTTCTTGTGATGTAAATGGAGTTATTCCGGAAAAATCAAAAAACATATTCCCATTAAAATTATGACAATAGAAATTTTCTAACTTAGCGTAAGAAAATGCAGAAATAAAAAAAATATATGTTACAAGAAAAAGAAGATAGTGTTACAGAGAATAATGCCCTGAGACGTACATATAAAATAAATTCAGAAATACCAAATCCTTAAGATAAATTATATGAATATGAGAGGAATTACTTAATTGCAATAATTTAAATAAATAATAATGTTATATAATACTACAGGTGATACTAATTATGATAACCACAATGTCTTACAGAAACAGGAAGTGAGTTTAAGTATATTCTCATCAGTTACAAAAAAATAAGATTTTAATGAACTTCTGTGCACAGGACTTACGCTTTGTTATCACATGGTCTTAAATAAAAGTAACCCGTCCAATTTAAGAAAGCTATACTTATTTCTAAAACAAAATTTAAAGTAAAATTAAATGAAGTTATAAATTGACTGAATATTTTCATTAAAAACATTTACTTCCTAAAAAATTGGTCAAAAATCGTTGTTTTTTTTTTTTTTTTTTCCGAAGTCGCTGAAGTTATTTTTAAAGGCAATTTTCGTCTCGGTCAGAGATGAAAAGTAAGTTTTCTGTTTTTTTTTAATGAAATTAAAAAAAAAACCTTAATGATCATTTAGCACCATTTCTTATGCTAGGTGCTACATGATTTTATTTCAGGATGCATTTTCCTCCTCAGGTCAATAGCAGGAACTAATATGCTATCATCAAACAAATTATCCTTCCATTTTACCTCACAATAAATCAAACATTCGTGAAAAATAAGTTTTTTGCAAAATTGTTTCCTTTAAAATTTTCTATAGCAGTTCCACATCTTCATGAACGTTTTCATTAATTGATCCATTAGACATCTTGATTTCCAGATCGATGAGACGGAAACAAATTTAGAGATTTTCTTTCTCTAAATGCAATCCATGGTGTTTAGGACATTTACAATAATATAAGAATAATACAAGTTAATACACATAATTAATGACTTCAGTACATTCAGTTTTAATAAATAATTTTATTAGTTTTCCGTAATCTGCAGCAACTCACTAAAATAGAAAACAATGTAGAAATCGGAATAAAAAGACAGGGAAGGGAAGCTTTTTGGCACCCAGAGTTCATTTTAATCATCACTGAGCTACAGAACATCCTATCATTTGAGTATCTATGTTTCACATATATTTCTAAATATAAATGCAAGAAAAATGTTATAAATGAGACAGAAAATGCGATGTCGCATCTGTTTCAAATTTTTCCTTACAGATATTCTATCACACTAGTTCTGTTTTAACAACTCTTCAAATAATAATAACCAAGACGATGATGTTGATAATGATGATGATGATGACGATAGATGGCACATGACATAAATAGTTCTGTTTGTCCAATATATTGGATTTTCTTGTGACCAGGGCTTAGAAGTAAGTATCTGTGACCTATGTCCACGAGCAACCCATTACCTACTGCAAACAAAATTTCAATTCATTAGCAGATATTTCTATGCTGCATAATGAACACGCAGATAACTCCTTTTTTCTACATAATAGCAAAGATTTTAAGCAATTATTTTACAGGTAATTTTCTTTTTATTCTGA